AATAAAATAAAATAAATAAAAAATTAAAAGGTAGAAATCAAACAGTGTCTGCTCTCAGACCAGAATGGAATTAAACAAGAAATCAGTAACAGAAGGATAACTGGAAAATCTCAAAATACATAGAGATTTAACAACGAACTTCTAAATAACACATGGGTCAAGGAGGACATTTCAAGAGAAATTTAGAGCTATTTTGAACTAAATGAAAATGAAAACACCAAATTTATGAGGGGCACCTGGGTTGCTCAGAAGTTAAGTGTCCAACTCTTGATTTCAGCTCAGGTCATGATGTCAGGGTCATGAGATCGAGCTCTGCATCAGGCTCTGCACTCAGTATGGAACCTGCTTAATATTCTCTCTCTGCCCTTCCCCACCTCAAGTGAAATGTCAAAATTTATGAGATGCACTGAAACCAGTGATTAGAGGAAAATTCATAGCATTGAATGAATAGATTAGAAAAGAACAAAGATTAAACCCCAGAGCAATCTATATTTTCAGTGCCATCCTGATCAAAATACCATCAGTGTTTTTCAAAGTGCTGGAACAAACAATCCTAAAATTTGTGTGGAATCAGAAAAAAGACCCTGAATCACCAAGGAAATACTGAAAAAGAAAGAGCTGGGAGCATCACGTTCCTGACTTTAAGCTTTATTACAAAGCTGTGATCCCAAGGACAGCATGGTACTGGCACAAAAACAGACACATAGACCAGTGGAACAGAGTAGAGAGCTCAGAAATGGACTCCCAACTCTGTGGTCAAATAATCTTCGACAAAGCAGGAAAAAATACCCGGTAGAAAAAAGACAGTCTCTTCAATAAATGGTGCTGGGAAAATTGGACAGCTATGTACAGAAGAATGAAACTCAACCATTCTCTTACACCATACACAAAGATAAACTCAAAATAGATGAAAGACCTCAATATGAGATAAGAATCCATCAAAATCCTAGAGGAGGAGGGGCGCCTGAGTGGCTCAGTAGGTTAAAACCTCTGCCTTCTGCTCAGGTCATGATCTCAGGGTCCTGGGAACGAGCCCCGCATAGGGCTCTCTGCTCAGCAGGGAGCCTGCCTCCTCCTCCTCCTCTCTCTCTCTCTCTCTGCGCCTGCCTCTCTGCCTACTTGTGATCTCTGTTTGTCAAATAAAATCTTAAAAACAAAATCCTAGAGCAGAATATAAGCAATAACTACTTCAACATCAGCCACAGCAACTTCTTTCAAGATATATCTCCAAAGGCAAGGGAAACAGAAGTGAAAATGAACTTTTGGGACTTCATCAAGATAAGCTTCTGCACAGCAAAGGAAACAGTCAACAAAACAAAGAGGCAACACAAGGAATGGGAGAAGATATTTGCAAATGACACTACAAAGGGCTGATATCCAAGATACATAAAGAACTCAAACTCAACACCCAAAAAACAGATAAGTCAAAAAATGGGCGAAGATATGAACAGATAACTTCTCCAGTGAAGACATACAAATGGCTAGCAGACACTTGAAAATTGTTCATCATAATTAGCCATCAGGGAAATTCAAATCAAAACCACATTGAGAGGGGCGCCTGGGTGGCTCAGTGGGTTAAAGCCTCTGCCTTCAGCTCAGGTCATGATCACAAGGTCCTGGGATTGAGCCCCGCATTGGGCTCTCTGCTGAGCAGGGAGCCTGCTTCCCCCCTCTCTGCCTGTCTCTCTGCCTACTTGTGATCTCTGTCAAATAAATAAACAAAATCTTAAAAAAAAAAAAAAACCACACATTGAGATACCACCTTACACGAGTTAGAATGGCAAAAATTAACAAGGCAAGAAACAAAGTGTTGAAGAGGATGTGGAGAAAGGGGAACCCTCTTACACAGTTGGTGGGAATGCGAGTTGGTGCAGCCACTTTAAAAAACAGTATGGAGATTCCTCAAAAAATTAAAAATAGAGCTACCCTATAACCCTGCAATTGCACTACTGGGTATTTACCCCAAAGATACAGATGTAGTAAAGAGAAGGGCCGTAGGTACCCCAATAATATTCATAGCTGCAGTGTCCACAATAGCTAAACTATGGAAAGAGCCAAGATGCTCTTCAACAGATAAATGGATAAAGAAGATGTGGTCTCTATATATAATGGAATATTACTCAGCCATCAGAAAGGATGACTACCCAGCTTTTGCATCAACATGGATGGGACTGGAGGAGATTATGCTGAGTGAAATAACTCAAGCAGAGAAAGTCAATTATCATATGGTTTCACTTGTGGAACATAAGGAATAACATGGAAGACATTAGGAGAAGAAAAGGAAAAGTGAATTGGGGGATATCGGAGGGGGAGATGAACCATGAGAGACTGTGGACTCCGAGAAACAAACTGAGGGGAGGGAGGTGGGCAATGGATAAGCCTGGTGGGAGATATTAAAGAATGCATGCATTGCGTGGAACACTGGGTTTTATATGTAAACAATGAATCTTGGAACAGTACATCCAAAACTAATGATGTATGGTGACTTACATAATACAGTAAAAAAGGAAAATCAATTTTCCAGGTTTCCACCTTAGAAAAATTAAATCCATAGTAAACTGGAAAAAAAATAACTTGAGCAGGAATCAATAAAATTGAAAACAGGAAGTCAAAAAATAAAAGCTATGAGATTGAAAGTCATTTCATTGAAAAGATGAATAAGCTTCCAGCCAGGCTAAGAAAAAAGGGGAGACAAATTACTAATATCAGAAATGAAAGGAGATATCAACAAACTAAGGAATACTATGAATAGCTCTGTTCCTACAGATTTGATAACCTAGATGAACTGGACAAATTCCTTAAATGATACAATCTGCCAAAACTCACACAAGAAGAAATAGAAAATCTGAATAGGCCTATATCTGATAAAGAAATTGAGTCAGTAATTAATAACCTTCTAAAACAAGAACACATGGCCCACATGGGTTCATTGGTGAATTCAACCAAATATTTAGGGAAGATATTTTACATCTTCTTTACAATCTCTTTCAGGGGATAGAAGACTAGGAAAGACTTCCTAATTCATTCTATGAGGCCAGCATTACTGTAATACCAATACCAGGCAATTACATTATAAGAAAAGAAGGTTACACACCAGTGTCTCAGGAATATACATGAAAAAATCCTCAACAAAATATTAGTAAATCAAATCCATAATGTATAAAAATAATTATATATATGTCATGACCAGATGGAAGTTATCCCAGGTATTCAAGGCTGATTCAACATTTGAAAATAAGTTAATGTAATCTACACATTAACAGGCTAAAAAAGAAAAATCATATGATCATATCAGTAGATGTAGCAGCTTTTGAGAGGATCCAATACCCATTGATGCTAAAAAAAAAAAAAAAAAAAAAAAAAAAAAACCACACACACAACTGTAATAGGCGCAGAGGGGAACTTCCTTCGTGATAAAAACTAACAACGAAAAACCTATAGCTAACATCATACTTAATGGTGAGAACCTCAAGACTTTTCCACTAAGGTCAGGAGCAAAACAAGAATGTTCCCTCTTAGAACTCCTTTTCAACATTATACGAGGAGTACTAGGAAATGCAATAAGATAAAAGAAAATAAAAGATAAACAGATTGGGAAGGGAGAAATAAAACTTGGTTCACAGATGACATGTTTATCTAAAAAAGGCAAAAAAATCAACAAAAGTCCTGAACTATAAGCAATTATAGTAAGGTTGCAGGATATAAGGTTAACATACAAAAGTATCAATTTCCTGTAGATCAGCAGTGAACACGTAGAAACTGAAATTAATTCAACACTATTTACATTAGCAATCCAAAAAACAAAATACTTATGTATAACGGTAACAGAATATGTAGAAAAATCTGTATGAGGAAAACTACAAAACTCTGATCAATAAAATCAAAATGAGCAGAGGGATATTCCATGTTCATGAATTGGAAGACTCACTATTGTCAAAATGTCAGTTCTTCTCAACATGATTTATAGATTCAATGCAATCCCAATCAAAATCACAGCAGGTTATTTTGTGGATATCAACAAATTTATTTTAAAGTTTATATGGAGGGGCAAAAGACCCAGAAGAGTCAACAAAATATTAAAGGAAAATAACAAAAAGTCAGAGGACTGATGCCACCTGACTGCAAGACTTACTATAAAATTATAGTCATAGAGACAATGTGGTATTAGCAAAATACCACAAACAAGAAGATCAATGGAATGGAATAGAGAGCCTGGAAATAGACCCATGTAAATGTAGTCAACTCATCTTTGACAAAGAAGTAAAGGCAATACGACTAAGCAAAGATGGTCTTATCAACAAATGCTGGTGGAACAAGTGGACATCCACATGGATCTAAACTTTTACACTCTTACTCCCTTCACAAAAATGAACTCAAAATGGATCACACACCTAAATGTAAAACACGAAACTATAAAACTCCTAGAAGATAGCAGAGAAACCCTCAGTGACCTTGGGTATGGTAATGACTTTTTAGATATAGCACCAAAGACATGTCCCACAAAAGAAATAAGAGATAAGCTGGACTTCATTTAAATTAAAAACTTCCCCTCTGTTACAGCCAGCATCAAAAGAATGAGAAGACAAGCCACACACTGCGGGAAAAAATTTGCAAAAGATACATTTGGTAAAAGACTATTATTCAAAGTGTACAAAAGACTCTTAAAATTCAACAAGAAAACAAACCAATTTATTCCTTTATTAAATGTAAATCAGTGCTTCTAAAATACTTGGAGAAACTAAATTATCTTCAAAAAGAAATTCTTAAGGAATGTATAAATCTAATAAGACTCTCTTAAAACGGTTTATGCATAAAGAAACTTCTGACAATGAAATTTAATACATACATTATGGGATGAGGGAGTTCTTGGGGTTTTTTTGCTGGAGATTATTCAAATCCAGATTTAGATATTTTTCTAGAATGTGTGGTATTTCAGACCCTTCTGGCCCCTAGTTTTTAATAGTAAATTTAAATTATAAATTTTATTTATCCTGTTTCAGGTACAATATTTGGATCATGGATTTACCGAGAAAATTCCACAATGTCATCTTTACCCTATTTTACTATACCCTGATACACCCCAGTTTTGTATTCCATGTCATCTTTATAATACCAAACCTGTGAGTAAATTGTAATTTGTGGGATGATTAATCTTAAATACTGTCTTTTTTATTAACAATAATTTTCTAGAAATTAGAATGTAAGATGATATCCCTTTCAGTTGCAGCAAAAATAATAAAATACTTAGAAATAAGTTTAATAAGACAACTAAAGCCTTTATAAAGAGCACTACAAAATCGTACTGAAGGATATAAAAATCATATAATAAGTGAGGAAACCGGGGTGCCTGGGTGGCTCAGTGGGTTAAGCCGCTGCCTTCGGCTCAGGTCGTGATCTCAGGGTCCTGGGATCGAGTCCCGCATCAGGCTCTCTGCTCAGCAGGGAGCCTGCTTCTCTCTCTCTCTCTCTCTCTGCCTGCCTCTCTGTCTACTTGTGATCTCTCTCTGTCAAATAAATAAATAAAATCTTTAAAAAAAAATAAGTGAGGAAACCTAATATCTTCATAGATGGGAAAGTGTAAGATTGTTAAAATATAGCTATTTCTTCATCAAATAAAATTGTAACAGATTGGAAGCTAGAAATCAGATAAAGGAATGGCATTTTAATTCTCTCGTTTCATAACAAATTGAGCTAAAACTTAGTGGACTAAATTAACAATAAACTTACCTTCCCTCATAAAATTTCTGTGGCTCAGGATCCCTAGTGATGCTGCAATAAATATCCACTAGAAGTCCAGGCATCTAAGGGTTCACTGGAATAGAGGAGCCACCTCCAGATAGCTTTCACGTGGCATTGGCAGGTTGAGGCTCCTCAGTGGCTTCTGGGAGGAGGCCCCAATTCTTTGCCATGTAAACCTTAACATAAAAACACAACAATCCCTGCTCCTTAGTAAATACATATCATAGGCATTAGGAAAGCACCATGTTGACATATTGGTGTTTAAAAAAAAAAGTTTTGTGATGCTTTGTTTTTAATGTAGGTTTATATTTTTAAAGCATTAAATGCGTCAAGAGAAAACTATTGTGGCACCCCAGGCAAATTATTAGTTTCTTCAGATCATTTTTATCATATACCCATGATATTCTCTTAAAACTACTTATATATTTTATACTATTATCTACTGTTAACCTGGGTATGGCTACTTTTGTATTCCTTTATCTGCCTTCTGCTCTGTCCTATTTTTTGAAAGTGTGAAAGAATCTGAGTTTATTAATCCCAAATAGGTTGGGAATGTGTGGCAACCAGATGCAATAGAACTCCTTCAGGAACTGCTTTCAAAGAGAGAGGTGGAAATTCACATTATGGTAATGTATATTTACAGCATATATTGTGGATTTAAATTATTTGCTATAAAGTGTTATCAGTAACATAATTTGAGGGATATTTTTATGATGAGCCATGTTCCTGTGTGAATATAATTTATTCATTAATATGGAAAAGTTACCAGTTGGGTTTCTAGGCTTGTTTTAAATAAACCTAATTTTGAGCAAGTTCCTGAGAACTTCCATAAATACTAAAGTCAGTAATCTGAAAGATTCTTTGTCAGCAACAGGGAGCAGCATCGAAGAACTGGACTTGCTTACAAGCACATGTAGTAGTTTTCAGGATGTTACTGTGTATGTAACACTGTGTTAGATGCAGGTAATTCCTGCCCTCAAAGAACTTATCTGGTTAGTGAAACAACTAGATATGGGACAAAAACCTAAAAATTACACACTACAAAGTAACATGCCGAGAGCCAAGTGATAAAAAGGGTAAGTGTGTGGAAACAGCCAAGATTCCCTTCAACAGACAAATGGATAAAGATGTGGTCTGTATATACAATGGAATATTATGCCTCCATAAGAAAGGATGAATACCCAACTTTTGTATCAGCATGGACGGGACTGGAGGACATTATGCTGATTGAAATAAGCAGAGAGAGTTAGTTATATGGTTTCACTTACTTGTGGAGCATAAGGAATAACACGGAGGACATTAGGAGAAGGAAAGGAAAAGTGAATTGGGGGAAATTGGAGGGGGAGACAAACCATGACGGACTGTGGACTCTGAGAAACAAAACAGGGTTTTGGAGGGGAGGGTGGGTAGTGGGATAGATGAGCTTGGTGGTGGGTATTAAGGAGGGCACGTATTGCATGGAGCACTGGGTGTGATGCATAAACAATGAATCTTGGAACACTGAAAAAGTAAAATTAAGTTTAAAAAAAAAAGAGTAAGTGTGATAGGAATTCAGAGATGGTAAGAAAAGATGGAAAATTTCTCCTGACCAGGGAAATGGAATGCACAAGTAAACACAGAGAGACAGAACTGGGCATGGCACATTGAGGAAGTAGTTGCTAGAATAATAGAATGTAATAATAATAGAATTATAACAGCTAGATTAATAGGGGTTTTATGAGGGAAAAATAGTGGTGAATAGGATTTAAGAGAGGTAAAAGTCAACCATTGGCACACTACATCAAGAACTAGTGATGTATTGTATGGTGACTAACATAACATAATAAAAAATAAATAAGTAACCACCAAAAAAGTCAATCATTGGAGCCCTATTGGAGTTTTCTAAGCAGTGAGGTGATAAGTTTAATCTGCAGCTGTGTTTGAGGATTCCAGTAGTAAGGTACAAAACTGTAAGGAAAATATTTCTGTATGAAAGGTGTAATTATAGGATTATAAAGACTTACCAAGAACCACAGACCCACTTACATAAAACAGTAGAGAAGCTTTATTGTTGCTGATATTAGTATCACGAGCCCCTGTCTGGTTACTTATAGCCTCTGTGGAAAGTCATGGCAGTTGAAATTTTTTAGTTTATCAAGGTAGCTTTCTTTGCTGCTTAGCTTAACACAGGAGAGCGATTTGTAGTATACCCAAGGCTGCTTAAAATGTCAGAAAGCGTGAACGTGCATGCCCTGCAGCCCTTACTGCCATACCAGAACTTACCCAGACTTGCTTCTGTGTCTTTTATATACTACTAAGAAATACTGAGTACTTCTTATCAGCTGAGCTCTGTTCTTAGCCTGGAGGTAGAACAATGAACTGAAGAGCCAAATTTCTGCCTTTATGGAGTTTCCATTTTAGTGGTGGGAAACAAAATTAAAAACATAACATATAAGGTATATTAGATCGTGGTAAGTGCTAGGAAGAAAATAAGGGAAGGCTGATGGGGAGGGTGGGGCCGGGAGAAGGTAATATTTTAAATACAGTGGTCAGGGAAGACCTCACTGCAAAAAATGAGAGATAAGTAAAGACTTTTTTTTTTTTAAAGATTTTATTTATTTATTTGACAGAGAGAGATCACAAGTAAGCAGAGGCAGGCAGAGAGAGAGGGGGGAAGCAAGCTCCCTGCTGAGCAGAGAGCCCGATATGGGACTCGATCCCAGGACCCTGAGATCATGACCTGAGCCGAAGGCAGAGGCTTAACCCACTGAGCCACCCAGGCGCCCCAAGATAAGTAAAGACTTTAAAATGGTGAGAGGACAAACCATGCAGCTCTCCAGAGAACAGTGCAGAGAGCTCCAAGCAGGAGCACTCCTCGTGGAGTGTTAAAGGGATTGGCAGAGAAGCCACTAGGGCTGGAGCAGAAGGAGCAAGACAGAGAAGAGTTGGAGATGGGGGAGATTTGTGAAAGATTTGGCTCTCAAGCTGACCCAGGCAGCCACTTGAGGATTTGATCAAAGGAGTGACCTGACCTACCCTTGCATTCTAGTATTTCCAGTCTGCTACACTAAGTATAGTAGTGGAGCTACTGGAGAGTAAAAAAGATAGGGAGCAGGAAGATCTGCTGGAAGACAATTATATTAACTCAGTAGAGACAGTAGGCCTAAGGTGGTACCAAGTGTATATGGTACCTAAGCTATGTACATGTTTAGTACCTCATAAATGTTAAGTGGACTTAAGAATTTTAAAGCTATTCTCATAACTCCTTCTAAACAGTCATGAATTTCTTCTGATTCCTGCCATTTCTGAATTTTTAACAGAACTTCATTTCTTTACCTCTGGACATATCTTTTCTTTCTCCTTCTACTTAGTATAAATTATTAGTATCATCTAAAGGTGATGTAATTTTTTTCTGTTCCAATAACACTTTATTTATGAATACTTAAATTTGGGAATTTCATATAATTTCCACATGCAATAGAATATTATTTTTTTATTTTGTTCTCAACCATTTAAAAATGTAAAGATCCTTCTTAGCTCACACACCATACAAAAACATGTGGCAGGCCAGATTTGGTCCACAGACTATGGCTTGTCAACTTGTGTTCAACACTGTGAGTTTTGTAAAGTGAGGCATCTCTTAAATTCATCTATACCTTCCTTCTAGTACTTAATTCATTGCCTTACTGTAATTTTTTTATAAATAACTAGAAAACTCTCTACCTTATGAACATCTAAGCATATTTTAAAGAAACCATGGTAGTAGAATTGCTGTTTTATAACCTGCCAAAATACTAGGAAGAAAATTTTATGAAATGAGCAGCTAGCCAAACTGGTAATACTGTGGTCATTAGAAATCTAATTTCATATTTGTCTACCCTAAAATTTTAATCTTCAAACAGACTTCATTTTTATAGTAATAATCTTGTTTGTTGAACTTAAATAGGAATTACCTGAAAACCCATGGGAGAAATTATCTATTCATCTCTATTTTGATGGAATGTCACTTTCTTATTTTATGGCATACCATAAGTATTGTACTTTTGAGCATTCTGAAGAGATATTGAAAGAAGTAAGTGAGCTATTTTTCTATAAAAATCTAAACTATAGAAAAACAAATTCTGGATAAAATGTCATATAGCGCTTTACACTTCAAGTCTTTTAGTACAGTTCTATGTGTCTGATACGTTAAGAAAGTATAGAGAATTATCAATTATTTGTTGAGAAAGCAATGTATCATGCTTTATAAACATCCTAAAAAAGACTTCAGTTGCACTAAGATTCAATTAATGTTTCATATCTTTAAACTTAGTGAAAAGGCCATATGTTATCTAATGTTGTTTGAATATAGAAATGTAAATTATAAAGTGCTAATAGAATTCACTGCCAGAAAAGGATTCTCTCAGCAGATAATTTTTTTCCTTTTATTTGACATTATAACATTTCCTCCATTTTGCCTTTTTACAGGAAACTCAGAGCTGGATTTTAAGCTTAATTTCAATAAATAGCCCTCTCCAGTTTCCCAGTGCTACTGTTTCTTAATATTTTTAAAAACATAACTAACCTATTATAGATATGTTTTCACATTGCAAGATGCCATAAATACTTAATGGAAATGGGGAATTCATCATAAATAATGACAGTAACATTTTATATAGCAAGGTATTTTTATTTCTAGACTTACAGTTTACTTGTTAGGTTTTTAAATATTCCTGTTCATAACAGTACACAACCAAACATTGAATGTTCAGTTCAATATAGAAAACTTTCTTCTTCACATAGAAACTGTGATATTACTTTATACACGTAATTCTTGTCAGTTTTTTTCTTATAAGCAGAAGGGTGTGTGTGGTATGTGTGTTGATATGCATGCATGTGTATTTGTATAAAGGTATACCATCTGTTAAACTGGTTTTATAAAGATTGCTAAGTCCCTCCCTTCTAGCTGTACTCTTTAGTGTAAACATTTTTTAAAAATATGTAAGAATTTCTTCTCTCTCATAATAAACTGCAGCTAGTCCTTGAGCAACACAGGTTTAAACTGCTTAGGTCCACTTACATGTGGATTTTTTACAGGACTGTAAATTTATTTTCTCTTCCTTATGATTTTCTTAATAACACTTTTTTTTCTCTAGCTTACTTTATTCTAAGAATACATATATAACACACATAACTTATGAAGTATGTGTTAATCAACTTTTTGTTATTGGTAAGCCTTCCAGTCAACAGTATGCTACTAGTAATTAAGTTTTCAGGAAGTCAAAAGTTATATGTGGATTTTCACCCCAAACCCTCATGGTGTTCAAAGGTTAACTGTAATTACTATTTGAGGAGAAGAATTTGAGGATTCTTACTATTGCACTATTAAGATTACTCCAGAGCAGTAGATTTTCCCATAGTTATCACAAAATAACTAAATGAATGCCAACGAACATGTACCCAATTTTTGTGGGGATGAAATATGAAAGTGCCTTAAAAATACTATATAGTTGAAGATGGTTTATTTATTAACAATACTATATTATTGCAGAAGCTAGCAGATTACAATAAAAAGTACGAGGATGAAAGATGGGAAATAAGATTTGAGGTAAGTTTCAACCCAAATATTTTGGAAACTTTGGACACTTCATCAGTACAAAGGATCTAATATAAGATCAGGAAGTAAGCATTTTCTTTTATTATGGCTTTATTGAGATATAATTTACAAACTATAAAATTTACCTTTTTCAACTGTACAATACGGTGGTTTTTTTGTATAGTCAGAGTTGTACAGTCATCACAGCTATTTAATTCCATAACATTTCATCATCCCAAAAAGAAGCTCCATACCAACAGGAGTCACTTCCCATTTTTCCCTTTCCCAGTGTCCTGGAAACCACTAATCTTCTGTCTGTCTGGATTTGCCAATTTTGGAAATGTTATAAAATAAAGAGAATCATATAATACATAGCCCCTTCTAACTGGCTTCTTTAGCTGGAATAACATTTTCAAGTTTCATTCACGTTGTAGTGTAGTATGTATCCTTCTTATTGCTGAATAATACTCCATTGTATGGATATACCACATTTTATTCATTCCTCTGTTGATGGACGATCTGTTGGGTTTCTATCTTTTTGCAGTTGTGAATAAAGCTGTGAACATTTGCATATAAGTTTTTATGTAGACATCTATTTTTCCTTCTCCTTTGGTATGGACCTAATTCCTACTAGTGGAATTGCTGAGTCATATGGTGATTCTATTTGCCATTTTAAGGAACTACAAGACTGTTTTCCAAAGTGATGCACCATTTTACTTATATACTAGGAATGTACAAGGTTCCATTTTTTTTCCCATATCCTTATCAGCACTTGTTATCTGACTTGTTTCTCACCCATAGGTATAAAGTGGTATCTCATTGTGGTTTTAATGTACTTTTCTCTCATGACTGATGATGGCGAGAATCTTATCATATGCTCTTTGGCCATTTATATATTTTCTTTGGAGAAATCTCTGTTCAAGTACTTTGCCCAGGATTTGACACCAAAAGCAAAGCCAACAGAAACAAAATTTTAACATGTGGGACTACCTCAAACCAAGAAGCTTTTGCACAACAAAAAGGTGGCCTACAGATGGGAGGAAATATTTGCAAATCCTATATCTGATAAGGCATTACTATCCAAAATATGTAAAGAACTTACACAACTCAATAGTAAAAAATAAACAATCTGATTAAAAAGTGGGCGGAAGAACTAAATAGACATTTTTTCAAAGAAGACATACAGATAGCCAACAGGTACATGAAAAGGTGCTCAGCATCACCATCATCAGGGAAATGAAATTTAAAATCACAGTGTGGTATCACTTTACATATATTAGAATGACCGTCATCAAAAAGACAAGAGATAAGAAGTGCTGGCAAGGACATGGAGAAAAGGGAACCATTGTGTACCAGTAGAGGGAATGTAAACTGGTACAACCATTATGGAAAACAATATGGAGGTTCCTCAAAAAATTAAAATTAGAATTACCCTTCTCAATTTCACTTCTAGGTATATATCCAAAGGAAACAAAATCACTATCTTAAAGAAGTAACTGCACCCGTATGTCCATTGCAGCATTATTTACAATAGTAAGACATGGAAACAGCCTGTGTCCATCAGTGGATGAATGGATAAAGATGTGGGGTGTGGGTGTATGTTATACACATACACATATATATATCTTTACACAATGAAATAGTGTTCTTTTCAGCCATAAAAAGGAAATCCTGCCTTTTGTGACAACATGGATGGACCTTGAAAGTATTATGCAAAGTGAAGTAGGTCAAATACTATATGATCTCACTAATATGTGGAATCTTAAAAACTGAACTCAAATACAGAGAAAATATTGGTGGTTGCCAGGGATGAGTGTATGGGGGAAATGGGTGAAGGCAATCAAAAGATACAAACTTCCAAAGTCCTGGGGATGTAATACACAACATGATGACTATAGTTAACACTGTATTGTATATTTGAAAGTTGCTAAGAGAGTAGATCTTTAATGTTTTCATCAGAAAATGATTGATGTTAGCTAAACTTGTGGTGTTCATTTTACAGTTATATACATATACTAAAATCATTACGTTGTATACCTTGCACTAATACAATGTTGTGTGTGAATTATATCTCAATAAAACCAGAAAAAAAAGGAAAATAAAAGTAGAAAATAATGAAAAGAATTCCTCTGCCCATTTTTAGTTGGGTTGATTTTGTGGAACTTTAAGAGTTCTTTACATATTCTATACATAAGTCCCTTATCAGATACATGATTTGCAGATATTTCCTTCCATTCTATGAGTTGTCTTTACACTTTGTTATTAGTATCCTTTAAAACACCAAAGTTCTAGGTTTTTTTTTTAAATTTTATTTATTTACTAGAGAAAGAGAAAGAGTGAGCACAAATGGGGCAGACAGGCAAAGAGAGAGGGAGAAGTAGACTCCTGGCTGAGTAAGACCCTGAGCCAAAGGCAGACACTTAAAACCAACTGAGCCACCCAGATGCCCCTAAAACACCAAAATTTTTAATCTTGGTGAAGTCTAGTATATATGCTTTCTTTTTTCCACTTGTGCTTTTTGGTGCAGGAAGTAAGAGTTTTAATGAAAGTTCCAATTATTTATAAGTAGAATTTTATTTCTGTGATTATAAAAATAACAAATGTAGTATAAAGTGCTTTGTAACAAATCAGTAGTATAGCAGTCAGTAATCAGTGTTCACTGAATGCTACTAAGTGGTTCAGATAGGTTTTGTTCTGTTTTGTCACCAGTTTGGAAATACAAATAGTAATAAACTAATCTAGTTTGAATGTGATCATTTTACTTTTTATGCTAATTACAATATTTAAAACTCTTTAAACTTTCTTAAACACCACCTACATTTTTATATTTTTGTTTTTAACAACTACTAACTGCCAGGTTCCTCTTGGGAATCACCTAACTTTTTATTATTTTTTTTTCAGAGTTTAAAGAGAGCAAACTTTTTTTGATGATTTTAACTTAAATCTTCTTTTGGCATTTCATATATTATTTTAGGTTTGTTTTTTTTTTTTTTTAAGACTTTATTTATTTATTTATTTGACAGAGCACAAGCAAGGGTAGTGGCAGGCAGAGGGAAAAGGAGACACAGACTGAGGGAGAGGAGGAAGCAGGCTCTTGTGGGAGCAAGGAATCCAGTGTGGCACTCGGTCCCATGGGATCATAACCCAAGTTGAAGACGTTTGCCTAACCAGCTGAGCCACCGAGATGCCCCATATTACTTTGTCTTTACTGTAAAATATGTACTTACTCTAAACATAAATGGAATACTATAGAAATGTGAATAGAAAAATGTACCCCTTTCTATACCTCAAATAATTGAGTGGCAATTACTGTTAGCTGTTTGTTAGCCATTCTTCTGGAGTTTTATGTGTATAGGTAAATATGTATACGTAAACATACTTATATGAGTGTTTTAACACAAATTTTTTTTAATTGAGGGAACAAAAGGGTGTTAAAGGTCTTTACTCACATTTTGGTCCTACTAAAACAATCATTTTGTGGTATCCATTATCTAAGAGAGTTTGCTTTCTGCTAATTGAAAATAAATTGGCAGCGTAATGAATTTTATTGAATTTTAATAATGTACTAGATTTCTGTAATAGTCATTCTGAAATTTGAATTTATTTGTGGTGCTTTAGGAATTGCTTTTGTCTGAAACAGAGACTCCTATTTTACCACCATATTTGCCTTCATCTCTGCCTCCCCCAGAAGAACTCTATGCTGTTCAAGTTAAGCATGTTGTCTCACCTAATGAAGTATGTAATCTAAATGATTAGTTGCTGATTGAAAATGTAACAGGAAATCTTAGTCTTAAACTCTAGGTTTGACTGTTTATGCTTACATCCTCCTTTTTTCAAATTTCATTTAAATTCTAATTAATTAACATATAGTGTAGTATTGGTTTGGGGAGTAGAATTTAGAATTTAATGATTCATCACTTAGATATAACACCCAGTGGTCATCATAACAAGTACCCTCCTTAATACTTATCATCATGCATTTATCCCATCCCCTGCCATCAACTGTCAGTTTGTTCTCTATAGTTAAGAGTCTCTTATAGTTTGCTTGCCTCACTCAATTTTTTCCCTTCCCCTATGTTCATATGTTTGGTTTCTTAAATTCCACATATGAGTGAAATCGTATATTTGTCTTTCTCTAACTGACTTATTTCACTGAGCATAATACACTCTAGCTCCATCCATGTTGTTGCAAATGGCAAGATTTCATTCTTTTTCATGGCTGAGTAATAGTCCATTATAAATATATACCATATCTTATTATTGATTCATCAGTCAGTGGAAATTTGGGCATTCTCCATAGTTTGACTGTTGTTGATAATGCTGCTATAAACATCAGAGTGCATGTACTCAAATCTGTATTTTTTTTATCCTTTGGGTAAATAACAGTGCAATTGCTGGATCCTAAGGTAGTTCTACTTATAGCTTTGTGAGAAACATCCATACTGTTTTCTAGAGTGGCTGCACCAGTTTGCATTCCCACCAGCAGAGTAAGAGGTTTCCCCTTTCTCTGCATCCTCGCCAAAATCTGTTGTTTCCTATGTTCTTAATTTTACCCATTCTAACAGGCATGAGGTTATATCTCATCACAGTTTTGATTTGTATTTTCCTGATGATGAGTGATGTTGCGCCTCTTTTCATGCTCCTGTTAGCCATCTGGATGTCTTCTTTGGAAAAATACTTGTTAATGTCTCTGCCCATTTCTTAACTGGATTATTTATTTTTGGAGTGTTGAGTTTGATAAGTTCTTTATAGATTTTAGATACTAACCCTTCATCAGATGTCATTTACAAATATCTTCTCCCATTCTGTAGGCTGCCTTTTAGGTTTGTTGATCATTTCCTTCACTGTGCAGAAGCTTTTTATCTTGATGAAGTCCCAGTAGTTCAATTTTGCTTTTGTTCCCTTGCCACCAGAGATGTGTCTAGTTAAGAATTTGCTGTGGCTAAGGTCAGAGAGATTGCTGCCTTTGTAGTGCTCTAGGATTTTGATGGTTTCCTGTCTCACATTTAGGCCTTTCATCCATTTTGAATTTATTCTTGTGTATGGTGTAAGAAAGTGGGCCTCTTTCATTCTTCAGCATATGGGTGTCCAGTTTTCCCAATACCATTTGTTGAAGAGACTTTTTTCCATTAGATATACTTTCCTGCTTTGTCAAAGATTAGTTGGATTAGTTGGATTAGTTGTGGGTCCATTTCTGGGTTTTCTGTTCTGTGCTATTGACCTATATGTCTGTTTTTGTACCAGTACCATACTCTCTTGATTAATACAGCTTTATAATAGAGTTTGAAGTCTGGACTCGTGATGCCTCAGGCTTTGGTTTTCCTTTTCAGGATTGCTTTGGCTACTGGGGGTCTCTTGTGGTTCCATACAAATTTTAGGACTGTTTGTTCTAGCTCTGAAAAATTCTGGTGGTATTCTGCGTTGAATGTGTAGATTGCTTTGGGTAGCATAGACATTTTAACTATATTTAGTCTTTCAATCCATGAGCATGGAATATTTTTCGCATTTCTTTGTGTCAACTTCAGTTTCTTCCATAAGTGTTCTATAGTTTTCAAAGTACAGATCTTTTACTTCTTTGGTTAGGGTTATTCCTAGGTATCTTATGGGTTGGTGCAGTTGTAAATGGGATCGATTCATTGATTTCTTTTTCTGCTGCTTCATTATTGGTGTATGGAAATGAAACAGATTTCTGTACAGTGATTTTATATCCTGCTACTTTGCTGAATTCGTATATTAGTTTTAGCAATTTTTTTGGTGGAGTCTTTCCAGGTTTTCTACATAGAGGATCATGTCTGCAAATTATGAAAGTTTGACTACTTCTTTGCCAATTTGGATGCCTTTTTTTTTTTCCAGTGTTCCAAGATTCATTGTTTATGTACTATACCCAGTGCTCCATGCAATATGTGCCCTCTTTAATTTTTCTTTTTTTAAATAAATTTGTATTTATTAGAGCAGAATTAGGGAGCACAAGAGGAGGGGACGGGCAGAGGGAGAGGGAGAAAGAGACTCCCCAATGAGCAGGGAACAGGACATGGGGCTCAATCCCAGGACCCTGGGATCATGACCTGAGTCAAAGACAGATGCTTAATGGACACATCTGGGTGGCAACCCTGGATGCATTTTATTTGTTTTTGTTGTCTTATTCCTGAGGCTGAGACTTCCAGTACTATATTAAATAGTAATGGTGAGAGTGGACATCCCTTTTTCCTGACAGCAGAGGAAAAGCTCTCAGTTTTTTCCCATTGAGGGTGATATTAGCTGTGGTTTCTTTGTATATGGCCTTTATGATGTTGAGGTATGTTCCACCTATCCTTTGTTGAGGGTTTTCATCAAGAAAATATGCTATATTTTGTCAAAAGCTTTTGCTGCCTCTATTGAGAGAATCATGTGGTTCTTACCCTTTCTTTTATGTGGTATATCACATTGATTTGCAAATATTGAACCACGCTTGTAGCCCAGGAATAAATACCACTTGATTGTGGTGAATAATTATTTTAATGTAATGTTGGATTCAGTTTGCTGGTATCTTGTTGAGAATTACTGCATCCATGTTCATCAGGGATATTGGCCTGAATTCTCCTGTTTAGTGGGAACTTTGGTTTTAGAATCAAGGTAATGCTGGGTTCATGAAAGAAGTTTGGAAATTTTCCTTCCATTTCTGTGTTTTGGAACACTTTGAGAAGAATAGGTATCAACTCTCCTTTAAATGTCTGACAGAATTCCCCTGTGAAACCATCTGGTCCTGGACTTAGCTTTGTTCGGAGAATTTTTATTACTGATTTAATTTCTTTTCTGGTATGGGTCTATTCAAATTTTTTATTTCTTCCTGTTTTAGTATTGATCATTTATATGTTTATAGGAATTTATCCATTTCTTCCAGAATTCCCAGTTTTTTGGCATATGATTTTACATAATATTCTCATATTATTTTTATTATATTAACATATAATGTATCATTAGCTCCAGGGGTAAAGGTCAGTGAATCGCCAGGTTTACTCACTTTACAGCACTCACTATAGCACATACCTTCCCCAGTGTCTATAACCCAACCACCTTCTCCCTATCCCCCTGCCCCCGGCAACCCTCAGTTTGTTTTGTGACATTAAGAGTCTGTTACACTGTCTCCCTCCTGATCCCATCTTCTTTCATTTTTTCCTTCCCTATCCCCCAACACCCCCATGTTGCCTCTCAAATTCCTCATATTAGGGAGAACATATGATAATTGTCTTTCTCTGACTTATTTCACTCAGCATAATACCCTCTAGTTCCATCCACGTCGTTGCAAATGGCAAGATTTCATTTCTTTTGATGGCTGCATAGTATTCCATTGTATATATACACCATATCTTCTTTATCTGTTCATCTGTTGGTGGACATCTAGGTTCATTCCATAGTTTGGCTATTGTGGACATTGCTGCTATAAACATTCAGGTACACGTGCCCCTTTGGATCACTGCATTTGTATCTTTAGGGTAAATACCCAGTGGTGCGATTGCTGGGTCATAGGGTAGCTCTATTTTCAACTTTTTGAGGAACCTCCATGCTGTCTTCCAGAGTGGTTGCACCAGCTTCCATTCCCACCAACTGCCTTTCTCTGCATCCTTGCCAGCATCTGGTATTTCCTGGCTTGTTAATTTTAGCCATTCTGACTGGTGTGAGTTGGTATCTCCTTGTGGTTTTGATTTGTATTTCCCTGATGCCGAGTGATGTGGAGCACTTTTTCATGTGTCTGTTGGCCATCTGGATGTCTTCTTTGCAGAAATGTCTGTTCATGTCCTCTGCCCATTTCTTGACTGGATTATTTGTTCTTTGGGTGTTGAGTTTGATAAGTTCTTCATAGATTTTGGATACTAGCCCTTTATCTGATATGTCATTTGCAAATATCTTCTCCCATTCTGTCAGTTGTCTTTTGGTTTTGTTAACTGTCTCCTTGCTGTGCAAAAGCTTTTGATCTTGATGAAGTCCCAATAGTTCATTTTTGCCCTTGCTTCCCTTGCCTTTGGTGATGTTCCTAGGAAGTAGTCGCTGCGGCTGAGGTCAAAGAGGTTGCTGCCTGTGTTGTCCTCAAGGATTTTGATGGATTTCTTTCTCACATTGAGGTCCTTCATCCATTTTGAGTCTATTTTCGTGTGTGGTATAAGGAAAAGGTCCAGTTTCATTTTTCTGCATGTGGCTGTCCAATTTTCCCAGCACCATTTATTGAAGAGGCTGTCTTTTTTCCTTGGACTTTCTTTCCTGCTTTGTCGAAGATTAGTTGACCATAGTGTTGAGGGTCTATTTCTGGGCTCTCTATTCTGTTCCATTGATCTATGTGTCTGTTTTTGTGCCAGTACCATACTGTCTGAATGATGATAGCTTTGTCATAGAGCTTGAAGTCCAGAATTGTGATGCCACCAACTTTGGCTTTCTTTTTCAACATTCCTCTGGCTATTTGATGTCTTTTCTGGTTCCATATAAATTTTAGAATTATCTGTTCCATTTCTTCAAAAAAAAAAAAATGGGTGGGATTGTGATAGGGATTGCCTTAAATGTGTAGATTGCTTTAGGTAGCATAGACATTTTCACAAAATTTGTTCTTCCAATCCAGGAGCATGGAACATTTTTCCATTTCTTTGTGTCTTCCTCGGTCTCTTTCATGAGTACTTTTAGTTTTCTGAGTACAGATTCTTAGCCTCTTTGGTTAGGTTTATTCCTAGGTATCTTATGGTTTTGGGTGCAATTGTAAATGGGATTGA